TATCCCTTCAAATAAATACCATAAAATAACTTCATCAGTGGTATCAGAGCCTCAAGGTTGGATTCAGTGACAACCCTCATAACTCATAACTGATAATGTGATATATAAAGACAGATTACACTGCATTAAAGGTTAGGTCCCTTGTTTGAGGGGAGGATTGTTGGGATACAAACAAGTCTTATATCGATAAAATAAAAGAAAAAGCAACAACTTATAAAGCACACATATACTCCAATGTTTGAGAGGCCTTTTGAATGATGACCAAAAGCAAAACCGTGAGGGCTTAAGTAAAAAAGCGAACAATATCTCATCATTGTGAAATTGTGATAGCATCCTTACTTGCACGAACATGAGATGATGAGCAAGGAAGAGGACGCTTACTCTAAGGATTAAGTTCTTCAAAGGTGGCACAAGGTTTTAGGGTGGATGATGATAGAATGGGCGAATGGGAAGTAGGGTAGAAGGTGTTGGATGAAAGGCTTGAAAAGAGCACTCTAGGGTTGGCTCACTTCATTGATGATGAAGTATGGAGAAGGTGCTTTGTGTCTACCTTTCACACTACAGTATGTCTCACAAATCTCAAGAAATACAATAGGAGGGAGAGAGAAGATAGAGATGCGACACAAATCTCAAGAAATACAATAGAAGGGAGAGAGATAGAGAATTTTCGTGCTCAAAGGAGTCTTATTTGAAATTTCTCTGGCCACCCTGAGAACTGTGCCCGAAGCTTCTATTTATAGGAATCAGAAAGGGCCAGAGCGACCCGTTCTGACCCAATCGTTATGTGCAAATTTCGTACCCTGGAACGGCCCGTTCTGAAAACAGAACGACCCGTTCCAGAGTAGAAATTAACACAAATTTTCCCTTTCCAGAACGGCCCGTTCCAAATTTGCCTTGTTTGGAATGGCCCATTCTGGTATTGGAACGGCCCGTTCCACCCAAAATGTTTAGGTGTTTTTAGTTACGTTGGAACGACCCGTTCTGATATTGGAACAGCCCGTTCCAGGGTTTAGAACGGCCTGTTCTAATTTTGGAACAGCCCGTTCTGATTTTGGAACGGCCCGTTCTGATTTTGGAACAGCCCGTTTCGATTTTGGAACAGCTCGTTCCGGGCTACTAAAATCACCTTATTTGACCTTTAGGCCTTCTGATGTCCTGTCTTGTTGTTTGTGTGCTTCGGAAGCTCTTTCCATTCATAACGGAGGTCCATTTCTGTGTGCTCCTGGACGAAATTGGGTGTCTACACTTATAAGTGTGTCTAAAAGAGACATCCCAAGGGAGATTGAGAAAGACTCTAATTTTTGGAAATTAGAGGAGCATACGGGTGAAAGAGCAACACCCTTTGCTTGATGAGCAACAACCTATTCATTGGGTTTGACTCAAAAATAACAAAGTTGTATCTCGTTTCATGCCAATATAATGGACTTTATAAATGCCCAACAATTTTGCATACATATTATTTGAGACACCACAATATCCTACAAATCCTTGAACCATTGCCCGAGATGATTTCAAAGAAGATTGTCAAAACTTGACTTGCTAGATTTCCCAAAGAGCTCCCATCTATGTTGATTTTGATAGTAGACTCATTTGGAGTAGTCCACCTAACTAGATGAAGGTCAATAGAAAAATATTTTTTTTATTGAAAGCCGAAATGGATAAAGCAACCATATGGTGTTGATTTGGTTGATCACATAACACTCATGCCAAACAATATCTTGAAAATTTTCATAATTTGTTGCACTCCAAATGGTCTAAGAAGTGATTGCAAAAGACATACCTCTACAACTAGTTGAATTATCTCTTAGCCAATTGTGAAAGTCATCATCCTCATTATCCCACCAAATGAAATTGAAAGAGCTCCAAATCTTCTTAGCTTTTTGACAGTCTCTCAAAATATGAAAAAGTCCTCCAAAAAACACCACACCTGCAATAAGAAGAGTCAAAAGACATAGATCTTTTAACTCTAAGAGCATTAATTGGTAAAGATAGGCGGCTAGGAAGCCACAAAAAGTGTTTAATTTTCTCTAGGATTGGAAGAAACCACACCCAATTTTTGGAATTAAGCAAGGTACTTGAGTAAAGCGAGCTTGAGTGATCCACCTATAAGCAAACAAGGTTGACCTAAGGGCGAAGCCAACAAAACCCTCCCTTTAGGATCCCTTAAAAAATTATTTTATATTAATATTTATATGATTTTTCAAGGTTCCATAACTTAAAAGATATTTTTTACATTTTAAAAAATCCACTTCAAAAGCTCGATCTCCAAAAGATTTACAAATATAATTATTTTTTTAAGACTCATCTCTATTTTTTTTTAATATTTTTTTTATCAAAATATATTATTATTAATTTTTTATAAAAAAATCTCACTTTAAGAATTGTTTTAAGCCAAATAATGTGTTAGGTTGACCTTGTAAGTAACTTTGTGGAGTAACGACCATCCATAGATGCATCTCAAATAATTACATCACTCATGTGATCATCAATGAACGAACTGCTAATGAGACCTTTAGCCAAGGGAGAGAGAGGAGTTGACAAAAAATTCTAACTCCAACTTCCATTATGAAAGTGTAAAATCAAAAGACGAACATCGTATTTTGTCTGTAAGACGAAGGACACCAGACGAAGTATACAATCTGACTCGTTACTAAATTTATTTTTCATTGTCAAGTCAGATTATCATTTAGAGCATTGAATACTTTATTCCTTAACAAATCGAATGAAACAACTTCCTTGAAGACACCAAAAGCTATTAGGAATGGAAACTCAATCTTTGTGTCACGAAAGAAAAAAAAATCCTAGAAATCACATAAAAGAAAACTAGAACTCTGAACACACTATACTATTATAATTTAGCCATTATTTTTCACTTTGCCTAACGAAATGATGATAAGTAGCTACCAAGCTCAGATAAGAGATGAACATTTTCATGCAATGCATTAAATGCTTACAGTAACAACTAATTTACTATCTCTTTCTCTCTCTGGTCTTGAAAAGAAAATAGACAAAACATCCTAAGAAGATTGTTCAATGGTCATTTTCCTCCAAGCTACTATATAAGGGATTCTCAATCAAGACAACAAAGTAGAAAGGAAATAAAAGAGACAAGAAACGGTGTTCCCACATCATGAAAATTTTCTAAGTGCATATCTTGAAGATAAATTTTGTCTTATACAGTTTTATTTGTGCTTAATTTTCATAGCATTATGTTTAGAGGAGACGAAACTATCCTTCGAACTCTTTCAAATTTCTACTTGTAAGGATTGAGGCTGGAGAGACTTGTAGTTAAAAGAATACTTGGTTATTAAGCCTAGAGAGGCTTATTTGTTAAAGAATACCTGAAGTTTTTGCTTGGAGAGGTAAGTAATAAGTAAAAGACTACTTGGGATTGAGCTAGAAGTGGCTTGTTGAAAGAATATTTGTATATTGTGAAAGATAGTGGAACTCAATCTGGTTGAATTGAGAATTTTTGTGTTTGAGACGAACTAGTATAAAAGACTTGTGCTCCTTCGTCTGTTGCATTTCAACACTACATTTGTCAAGCTCTTACTACTTCACTGTTTTCAAAAGTGTGAGTTTTTTATATACACTATTCAACTCCTCCTTCTAGTGTGTATCTTTTCTCCAACAAAAAGATATGATGAAGTTCCATATTCACACCACTAATATACACATAGTCAACTAATTACATGGAGACTCTTGTTGACACCACCTATCATACCAAAGGGAAACTTTATCGTCCATTATCCTAAATCAAAATCCTAGACAAAAAACAATTGTCGCCTTCTTAATAGAAGCCTAAGAAAAAGACACATCAATGTGCAAAGACATCTTAAAAATGGACTCCTTTTTTAGATACTTATTTGAAAGAAGTGAACCCAAAGCTTATTGGACTTGTGTAACAATGGCTAGACGCACTTGCCAAGAAGTGCAACTTGACTTTTCTAACTGTATGAATGGATAAACCTCCTCTATTTCTTGGTCTCACAATGATATTCAAATTGACCCAGTCTTGAAAATTAACCCTAAACAAAATATCTTGTAACCCTATTAATCTCCGCACACACCATCAGGGAACCACAAATTTTGCATTAGGCAAATAAATATGAATTAATCACTAACTTAGCCAAACTAATCCTCCTTGCACGATTGAGAATTTTAGATTTCCAACCAATAGGTCGGTTATTGATGCATTCCATCACAAAGGCAAAATCGTTTTTCTGAACTTCCTACAAGGAGTAGAAAGCCTAAGTATTTGCCCATTTTCACATAATGAGAGAAGCCAATGATACTCATGAAACTATCTACTTTAACCCTTGAAATATTCCTAGAAATCAGAAACTTGGGTTTTTAATATTCTTGAGACCAAAGGCTCTACAAAAATAACCAAAAACTTGTTGCACCTAATGAACCTGAGAAGCTTTTACATTAGCAAAGAATAAATGTGATACTGATGACCCTTGCCTGGAAATTTTAATAGACTACCAAATATTATCTTTCACCTTTTGTTGAATCATCAAAGCCAAATTTTTCCATAAAAAAAAAAAGACCATTACAAGAAAATACCTAATTATTGTATTTTTAATAATAATTTTATTACGATATATAGTATTATACTATATATTAAATATTTAATCTTTATATTATATCTATACTAATAAATACGCAAACCCAAATAATTACATAACTAATGGATATGGAGGCACAGATTGTTTTATTTTTTTTTTTTATATATCAGTAATAATTATATTTTTAACTCGATAAAATATACAGTAAAGCAGTTGTGAATAAGTGATACCTAGTTCCTTTACCAAAAAAGATACCTAGTTCACCGACAGCATCCGACGCCACATTTTGTACATATTTTCTACCTCTTTTCCTTTTCCTTTTTTCTTTTGAAAAAGTATTTTCTAATAGTAACCACTCTTTTTTAACTTGTAAGCAAAGTCATTATTATTTTTAATATAATATAAACTATTTTTTACTTTACCCTTCTGAAAACCAAAGCATAAAACGAAAGACATTATCATTATCCATCGTGAAGCAAAAGACAGTGAGAAAATGGCGTTGTTGAGTGGTGGCAAGGTTATTGCTCCTCCCATCTTCCACCACTCTCACACCCCTCGACCCTTCTTCTTCTTCCGACGACGCCGTTTCACAGTCTCTGCTCTCTCCGAACAATCACCTCTTCCCGTTCGCGTTCGTTTCGCTCCTTCTCCCACTGGAAACCTCCACGTTGGTGGTGCCCGAACGGCCCTCTTCAACTACTTGTTCGCCAGGTCCCTTTTTTTCCCCTAAAAATTCGATTTTGAATTCTGGGTCTTCCTTGGTTTTGAGTTTTTTCTCGTGTGGTGTGTTGGGGGTGTGGTTTCAGGTCCAAAGGTGGGAAATTTGTGCTGAGGATTGAGGACACTGACTTGGAGAGGTCCACAAGGGAGTCTGAGGAGGCCATGCTCAAGGATCTTTCCTGGCTTGGACTTGATTGGGATGAAGGTGAGTGACTGATGGTTAATTGATTGTGCATTGAACAATGATATATTAGTACATAACATATTTGGATACAAGCTTATAAGTTCTTTAAAGAGCTTCTTTATGAAATTTTTTTTTTCTGGTAGAGAAACTCTCAAAATCACTTCTAACTCATGGCCAAAAACAGAATCAATATCATATATATATATATATA